ATTACACCAAATTTCCCTAAATTAAAAAGTCTACATTTCAAAAAATGGTCAATTTGCCAAATAAACAAAAAAAAAAAATAATTAGCAAGCTAACTAAAATTAGCTTAGTTGGCCAAAATATGTCCATAAGATTTAGATTAAATGGCTAGAAATTGGATTATAATTTTTTTTTAAGTTATTGAACCAAATATCCAAAAAAGGGTCAATTTGCCAATGGAGCATACAATGGAGCATATATATATATATTTGTATGAAAATAAAATTTAGTCATGAGTGAGATTTTTCTTATGTATGTACATAAATTTTTCATCTCAGTTTTGAATCCATGACGTTTGTAGAACATGATTTTCATTTATTATTCTTTTACGGTTTAACCTGATTAGTGATCATCAAACTCAAAAAGCTGGTGTTTGCATTGGTACAAGCATTATTATTGCAAGACATCAAAAATCAAAAGGACGTTATCTTGGTATGTACATGAATAAACTGAATTTGACTCCAAGCTACAAAGAAATTTGCAAATGTTCACCTTGAAAGCTAGAAGAAGGGGAATAACAGATACTCTGCGTAGAAGAGATTCCATATAAACCGATAATATTCTGCGATAGCTTCCTGCAATAATCAAAAAGTTTCTTTACTCCATTACATATACACATTCCATTGATCTTACGAAATCATATTGTGATAAGAAGTTGATGTTTTGCACAAGTATTTTACCTTTGTGTAGTTTGCTTTTTCTAGTACCCACGTCTACAAAAGAAGAATAACAACAGTGATATTAGAAATTTGGCAGTTACTTAAAGCATATAGTATTTATGAAGTTTTGGGACATTATCTCAGGCTATGACCATACTAAGTAAGATAAATAAGAGTACCTCGGGATGCATTACCTGGAAAATCAAGCATGAAGCCAAGATCATATGTGCAGGAATCATCAAGCTACCTCTGAAAACCTGTCAAATGTTAAAGGATAGAGTGCTTAGATTAACCGAAAGAGTTGATGCGAAATTGGAGCGAGATGTGTTCACCTGAGGCATGTAGAAAGCTAGTGACATGGCAGAAATATAGTTCACTAGCAGAAGTCCAGAACCGAGGAATGCAATGTTCCTCACTCCAAGCTTTGTTGCTAGAGTTGATATTTGGAACCTATTCAAAATCAACCGCAGGAACAAGGTTTGATTAATTAAACATGCTTGAACAAACGCGTAAAGATGCTATATCAGATGGAGCTGTTCTATTCAGGACAAAATATCAATCACGTTTTGGAAAGACACCGGGATAGAAAAAATAGATAGCTAAGCCGAAGAGCGGAAAGAAAATGGTATACATGCAATTACTTACTTGCGATCTCCTTCAACATCAGGAAGATCCTTTGTAATAGCAATGACTAGTGCAAACAGTGTCACAAAAGACGTGATGAAAGCCACAGGTGCACTGCAAATTTTGAATAGAGAGTTGAGTAATATATATATATCCTCCATTGTATCATGATGAAATTAAAGAACAATTGGCCCATCACAAGTTTTATAACTGTATCCATACAAGCATGCATACTAACCTCCACTGAAAAGAAAGTCCAAGAGCAGCTCTTGTAGCATGGTACACACCAAAATTAAGAAGGAAACCTCGTACCTGATAAAGCAATGTCAATGCACAAGACATGTTATTATTAAATGCCATTTCAAAGTTCCAAGCAACGAAAATACACATATGGTGATAGCTTAAATTATTAGATTGAGAAGCATAGAACAGCCCCTACCGTGGCGATAATAAGAAATGCTGCAACTGGATATCTTTTCATTCTAAATGGTGGAACAGAATAGATGGTTCCGAGAAAAAGGCCAAGAGTGTACAGGCATGTAATGAATGGACCAAAGTTGAATCCGACAACTAACAGCCCTGCAATTGCAAAAAATATAACCAGCAACCAGGCAGATTGCACTGAGAGATCTCCTGCTGCTATTGGCAAGTATGGCTTGTTCACTCTGCAAAACAAATAATTCAAATTCAAATTCAAACCAGAAAAGGTATAATGACATACTGATTTGGATGTAATGATCATACATTAGAAGTAACACATTGCACACAAGATGCTTCAGAAGCTTGAACTTATAAGAAATGACTAATATGAGCAGACTGATAATAGTTTCAGGCAGCAAACAATACAAAATCTAATAACAGTTCAATTTTTTCTCAAGACTTAAGACTCCAAAATATTGAATTTTGTAGATGCACATTAATGAAGAGTTTTTATAGTTAGCTTAAAATCATTCCACAAATGTTTGGAACATGCTGCTTCAGAGTGATGCCACAATAAAAAATAATAGTGACCATCTGATCTGCATTTAATGGTGCCACATACTTGTCAATTCCAATGTCGTAGATCTGATTGATGCCAACTATATAACCATTCCCACATATAAGAGCAAGAAGACCTGAAAGTGCCTTGAGTACAAGACTCCATTTTATCAGATGAGTGTTCTCTATCAAAGCTCTTGCCACCAAGGCACTGCCATTATAAATTTACAGTCAAGCCAAATGAGAGCAAGGAAATATGAAGTCTTTCTTAAAACAATATTCAACATATACTAACGTGGATCCTAAAGCTGTTCCACGGATTGTATGGGGCCTAAGAAATCTCCAGCAAGCATTTTGGAAACGCGCAATTTTATCCAGAACTGGATCTGTCCCAGCAGCACCAACCTGAGAACATGCCTGATAGTATCTACTTTTGTGAGTGCCATTGAAATGAGCATTGCACACATAATTTTAAATCAAAAGTGAAGTATAGAAATGAACAAGTCTAAGAGAAGCAGCATAAGATGTTGTTCAAATGAGTAAAGAATGCGAAATTTCCACTACAATCCAGGTAAGACTAACTTATCAAACTTTGTTTAATTAACTGATTATGGGAGCTAGACTTACCCTTCTAAGCACACCAGTTTTATAGGACCTAGCCTAGATCTGATCTAACTCGTCGGTTAAACCACCAATGAGAGAAAAAAGAAGAAGAAGAAGTACACAACACACTGAACCTCAATAATCCTTTAGAGTAGGCATTTCCCATTGAAACAGATCCAAGGTCAAGAGTTTAAGAAGATTTGAAATTTTCAAGCTGCTCAGTCCCAGATACA